ACATGGGATCGATGGGGACTTTTGACACTTTATTTCTAATGGTGTACCCAAGGTCTCCACCAAAATTTAGCTCTGTCGGAATTTTTGTTATTTGAAATGTCTATTTTGACCGGACTACTAGATGTAAAATCAATAAATAGGATGTTTCATTAAAAAAATTAAGGTATTGAATATTGAATAACTTTTAACAAACTTCTTAATTTTTTTATCTTTACAAACGCACATAAAAATGTTATAGCCTTAGAGTTTTACGACGACTAGAAAAAAACTCCTAGCTGTCTTAATTCTTGTGTAATAAATTTTTAGAAAGATTATGACGACGTTACTGATTTCAGTGCATGTAAAATTGCCGCCATAAAAGGCTGTCGCCTCTGGGCTGTAGCCCATTTAGTCCTGTGGTTAGGGTGGCTCTGCCCCAGCGATCGCTGCTATTTTAAATGCGGATAAAGTACATTTTTTACATGATGTTTTTTTGTCAGCCCTATAACTCGCTTACAGTTAGTCCTACAACAAAAATGCAAAGGACCATTTTTGTAGGAAATTTTGTAGGCTTTAATTTTGATAAGCAGGCAAAAACCGTTAGGAGTAATAGTTTCCGAGATATAAGCAAAAAAACAAAAAAAGACACTTTTAGCCCCCTCCCCCTCCTCGAGCTCGCCCCCCACCTTCGGGGACTTTTGATATATGTCTACCCAAGAATAAAGAAAGCGTTTAAAAAAATTCCAGCTTTCTAGAATTTTTTTCCACCGATCGCCCTATTTTTGTCTAATTTGATTGGGCTATTAAAGAAAATCCGATACCTACGTTTTTACATCTTATAAAAACTAGCCTAATGAAATATGCAAATGAATCCCCTTTTTGGTTTGAACTTTCCTCCATAAGTTGTGCAATGACATTATCAGAAATCTGAATTAGAAAGAAAAATTAAAATACGTGTAGGGAAGATTGGTGTTACTTGGAAGCGTGAGGTATTTTTATTACCCTTATTGCCTAATTCTTTGTCGGTAGAAAAGGTTCAAAACCGTTTCCTAAATTGGAAAGTGGAAGCATTAGTTGACTTCATTATGTGGTTTCCTGTTTTGTAAATAAATAGAAAAAAATAGGAACTGATTACGTAAATAAAAATCAAGTAAATAAATATTAAAAAGACAATTTAATTATAGACGACAATTTTTAATTACAATAAATTACCCAAAAAGTATAAAAATCAATCTTCTGAATGTATAATAACGTCCAATCGCAGCGGCTTAAGTCCATTATCAGACATCCCCAAAAAATGGAAATGACTCAGAATTAAGCACTGCCCTTCCATACACAACGTTTGTGGATTATTCCCCAATTGCAACACTGGACCATAATGCTTCACTCTCACATTTTCCGTGATTGTGGAAACCGCCACCGTGTAACTAAAATCGCATAAAACATTCGATGCTGTCCAAATGATAATTTTGTCGTTGTTTCCGGAAACCATCCCAGTGTTTTCGTCTTGCGTCACCACGTCTTCTTCATCCCCTAGTTGAGCTGAGGCGAGACGCGAAGCCAAAACGGCCACGGTCACCGGCATCAAAGGTTTCTCCTGACTAATTCACAAAAATTAAAATCTTGCTAAAATGCAAAATGCATTTTTAGTCCGGTCAAAATAGACATTTCAAATAACTAAAATTCCCACAGAGCTAAATTTTGGTGGAGATCTTGGGTACACCATTAGGAATAAAATGTCAAAAGTCCCCATCGATCCCATGTGTGCTAAAAAAGTTATTCGGGGTCAAAGGTCAAAAGTTGACGTTTTTTAGATTTTTTTCGAAAACGGTAAGTTTTATCAAAAAAGTAGCCCAGACAAAAATTATAGATCTTAAAATTATCTAAAATGGTCCTTATACTTTTTTTCTAAGAATCACCATTCCTGAGATATCGCGATTCTAAAAGTTGAAGAAGTCACATTCTATGTACATGATATGCACATACAGAGTGCGCCAGAACTCGCGCCCCAAAGAAAAATGCTATGTAGAGTAAGGTACAAGGAACATGGAAAAAAATTTAAAAAATTCTATCTATAAAAATTTCGAAGTTATGAGAGTTTAAATTTTGCACTTTGACTCTATTTATTTCTGTAGGATAAACAATTTTCCAAGTTTTTTTGCTACAGGCTATTAGAAGAGAAAACAAGGAAGCTGTATTCTAAATTATAACTCTGTTTAATGTTATTTGTGGCTTTTGTTGATAAAAGTTTTGTACCTTCACTAAATAATTGTAAAAAAAAAACATACGGTCTTGAGGTTGATATTTTAATGAGATGACATTTATGGTAGAAGAAAACTATTACGCTATATAAAACAAAAATTCACGTTGTGAAAGAAAATAATTCATTTTATATCATTTGTTTGAGAACTGCTGCTTCAGCTGCAACAATGGCCATTACTTGTGTTTGACCGTAAATCATAATCACGACAACTAATTTATTATTTTAATATTTTTTTGCCATTCATGTTCATAATTCATAAATCTGGAAAAAAATTGAAAAAAAACGAATCAAACCTATTGTAAACCATTTCGCTGGAAGAGATTAAATAGGAGATCTTCGAATTTTGATAAAAACTAAAGCAAAAGCAAATCAAATGATGACATTGTCAAAACTATAAAGTGACTTTTCTCTTTCATTSTCACGGATACGATTTTTTTATTTGTTGCAACARTACAATTTTATCAGAACAAGGAAATAATTCCAGCGACCCCCAAACCGTGTATCAATTTTTTGGAGTTAAATAACATTCTTAATAATAACAAATGTGTGAGTTTTTTTCTAGGTTACACTCTTCTATTACTAGGTCAATTTTCAACTCCAAGACCATAAACATCCTGTATACAAAATCATCAGTATCATTAAATAGACATAAAAATGTCAAATGTCAAAAAATAAATGTCAAAATTTTTTGACAGATAGAATTTTTTAAACATTTTTTCCATGTTTCTGGTATCTTATCTTACTTGAAATTTTTCTTCTACTTCATTAAACTTATAAATATCTCGATTCCA